AAGAAGGTTAGGAGATCGAGGAATGTTCTTGTTGTTTTCTTGAAGAATGAAGGAGGTTGTACAAGTTGAGCTTCCCTGTCCTAAATACAAGACTTAGGTAGCTCATATGTCTTTCTTACTCAAATGTTGGAGTTGATTTCTTGCATGTTCATGTCATATGATGAGTGTAGGCCAAAACTTATGGTTAGAAGTTGAATTGTGTATGTTGCCATGCACTGACATATATTGAAGTTTTGAGGTGGTATAGTCCATTTGTCCTCACATGCAGTCCAGTCTTAGTCATTACTCCATGAGTTCATTTTTGTTTTTGAAGGTTTTGAGCCTTCGAAACATATTAAAGCTTTGAAAATGATTTAAGATCATGCATGTTCTTGGAAAATGCTTGAAATTGGATTGATTAAACACCCTTTGGCTTGATTCTTCTCAAATCTCGAGTTTTGAACGCATGTTGTTCTATGTGTTTATAAAATGTTTCTCGAAATTCAGCCGAGAGCGATCGGTTTTGATGCATTTAATTGACTTGGTCTAGCTTGGAGGTGCATCGGGTTTTCCAGATTTCGCACTTCGCTCGAGCGTTTGGAATCCGAGCATCCAGCATCTCTCTGCACTGTTTTACAGTCCCATCATAGCGACGGAGGATCGGCGCGTCGAGCGGAGTCATGTCTGCAACGCATCGAAGGGGCGGTTGTCCGAGCCGGAGATTTCACCATCAGTAACTTTACAGTATGCTCGAACGTGAAAGTTTACGCTCGATCGCGTGTACTTTGTTGCATTAGCCATGCATCGATGCGGAGAAACCTGCGCTCATGAGCGGATTCTATCTTTTTATGAAAATGCTTTTTAAGGTTGCCTCCTTGCATCCTCTCCATCTAGGCTTTCTGCTAGTTTAAAATCTTATGAGGATATAGACGTCGAACAACCGATGGCATTAGTGGATTAAGTTGTTATAATTTCCAACTGCGTAGCTTAGTGTGTTTCAATCTGTTAACTGTCGGGTTGGCACTGGGAGACACGCTCTAGCTCTACTGTGCCCGAATCTCTTTGAGTAACAATTGTGTAAAGATATGTTCAATGATTATCTTCTGAATACTGAACTGAACGTTTTAACGAACTGCTATTCGTTTTGAAATGGAATGTATGTCTATATCATAATACTACTGTTGCATCTTGGCAAATCTATCCTTAGCACCTTACTGTTACTGTTACTGTTACAGAGATCTCTGTCGGTTCCCTCGTGGAACCACTACTGTTTACTGACTGATGGCCATCATTACTGTTCGGTCTTTAAGACCTACTGTTTACTGCTATGCTAATGGATGTACCACATATGATTGAATAACTGTTCTGACTGAAATACTGATTTAATGGACTGTTTTCATTACTGTAAGGACATTTCATTCATAACCTCTTTACGCATTATGTTATTCACTGGGCTTTAGCTCACTGTTTATATATATATGTAGGTGCTCAGCCACCAGACCGGAGCTAGGAGCGTGGGTTAGACTCCAGTTTTGTCAAGCCAGCCTATGTGCCTCACTGCGAGGTTCCGAGCCTATCTGCTAAGGCTTAGGGGTGTTTCAGGAATTCCCCTTCTGTACTGTCTTACTGTTCTGTATAGACTGAATGTTTTCTGTACTGTTATGGGGTTGAGTCCCTAGTTTGAATGAATGTAAATATTGTGCATACTGTTCTGTACTGTTTACGTATGAATGCATGAAAAGTCTTTTTGGCATACAGACTGTCACATCTCATTGGGCATTGTTTATTTACTGTTTTGGCTTCCGCCAGGCCCTGTACTCTGTTTTACTGTACTACTGTTCTGCAGGCCTTCGGTAATCTCGGATTACTGGCCGATTACGGTGCTAAACCCATAGGGCCGGGTTTGGGTCGTGACAATTTCCATGGGAAAATGCACCCAAAATTTGCCCCATGGTTGGTGATTTTCTTTTTTATTTTATTTTATTTTTTCAATTTTTTGGTGTTTTCCTCTTGGCTCATTTTGAACTCTCCCTCTAAATTGTCAAAACTGGTGCCTGAAATCAACAACTTTACTGTTTAAAATTGTCATAAATCTATTTTGTCATTCTAAAATCTCTTTTGCTAAGTCATAAGTGGACTTGAGGCCGGGACCTAATTCATAGTATTAATCATCTGGCCTAATTTTACTTGAATTTCATTGGAAATATTCAACCAAAGGAAAAATGAATCGTCAAAATTCCATGTACTTTTTATTGATTACTATTCGTTGTTCTTGTTCATTGGTAAATTTCTGGAAATTCATACACTTATACCCAATATATTTTGAAATCTAGTTATCTAAAATGAATTAGGTAGGTTGAGTATTGTGCAGAATTTATAGCTAAAGTAAAACGATAATGAATGAGCTGGGTATTGACATTGTTTATTTGTTGAATATTTGTGTTGATTCGGTTGTTAACAAGAATATAGGAGTATGATGAGGCAAGTGTAGAACCTGAGCAAGTTGCCCCTGAAGAAATTGAACAACAAGAAGTTGAAAAAGCTGAAGATAAATAAACATTAGTAGATACACAGTAGGAGCCTAAGCCTAAGCCTGAGCCTGAGCCTAAATAAACATCCCATACTTCTAAATGCATGTTCTATTCCCTATAGTCCCTCAATTGATCTAATGGCTTTATTCTTAATATGTCATTTGATAGTTGTGCTGTTCTTCTGCTAGCACCCAGAAATTTTATCATAAGCTAAGAAGCACATGTGAAGCACATGTTGCATCAATACAGATTTGTTGTTCCTCAATCTTATTTTGTTGTATTGTTTTATGCTCTGTCTAGCTAGGATGTCCTGGTTTTCACATCGATCTCTAAAGTTCATTTAAATGTTATTTTCCCAAGGAGGTGTTGTTCCAGTGTATAAGCGGAACATTCAAATGAGTTATGTTAGTGATGTCTGGAGTCTTTAGTTTCTAAGGTCAGGTCATAGCTTTTGATTGGTTAGATTTACAATGCTCTTTCATAATTCACACATAAATTGTATGGGTGTATTAGAAGCCTGAATAATATTTTTGCCTTGAACATCCAACAATGCACTAAAATGTGGAATTATTTTATCTGCACTATTTGAAATGTCCAATCATTTCAGTTGTCTGACCTGCCTATTGAAAACCAAAAAATTTGTAGTGAAGTGTATAGTTGATAAAATCATATTGTGAATCAAAATATTAATTTTGCTAATTATGAATCAAATTGAAATGAGAATTGTAAGATTTGACACAAAATATAAAAATGATATTAAATAATCGGATATATGAAAAATTAAAATAAATGGATTTTGGTAATTTTGGAGCTTTGTGATTTAAAGTTGCCAGATGTTGAAAGCAAGTGGTGCTGCTGGAATGGCTCCTCAGCGCCGTCGATCATCCTCGGCTACTCTGTTTGGAAGGATGACACAGGTAATTTAAAGTTCCCATTTGAATTTCCATGTTCTGTCATCAAACGAAGTTTTAGTCCTTTCGTTAGTTCAGGTGTTCGCTAATATTTTTATTTACAGAGTTTCTGAGGAACTCCGCAAGGAGTTAATCTTTCCTTTGTAAATGGTGGCCTGACTGGTGGAGCAGAAACTTTACACGAAGTTGAAGCCAAATACCCAGCTTTGCTTTTCAAGCAGTAACTTACAGCATTTGTAGAAAAGATTTATGGAATGATTTGAGATAACCTTAAGAAAGAGATTTCTCCATTGCTTGGGTTGTGCATCCAGGTAATTGAATCTGTTCGATTCTTAAATTACCAGGCACAATTTATGGTAAAAGGAGGAATGAAATTCTTTATTCTATGGGTTATTTTATTAATTTACTTGGTAAATTATAGGGGCCATGGTTTCAGCAAATCAGTATTTGGCCCTCAGACAGGTATACTGTGTGACCAGGTATTTCGTTGATATTTTTGTCTTTGCTTTGCCATGTTTGAGTTTCCATGTTCTTTTTTTGGTTCTTAAATACTTTCGATGAAGCTGTCAGGTGCCTCAAGTATCTCAAGGTTGAAGTGCAGAAAATTGAAGTTGGAAACCTGTACAAAAGGTGATGATGCTGGTCTTTCAAATACGCACATGATTATGGCAGAGATTCCAAATGCTTCAGAAGCGGTGGTATAGGTGCGTGACTTGGGGTGAAAAATTAAATTTCTAGCAGTATGGTGGTTCTTGCTTTATGTAGGAAGGGTAATATTTGATGTGTATTATTAATACTCTGTTCAACTCTGGAAATTTGGAGGCATTGATTAGAAAATCTGGACATGAATGCTTGATGCTTTGTGTCTGACCCAATGAATATGAAGGCATAATTATTTCTTGGCTAAACACAACTTTTAAGGTAGTAATCTGACCCAATGACAAATGTTATCTGTCCTAATTTATGGTATTGATTTGAGTAGTGGAAATCATTATAACTTCTTCCCAACCCTATGGCCTTAGGCACTATTACTTTTTATTATTCAACTGTTAATTTCACTTTTATCTTTAAATTATTCTCATTTTATTTTTTGGGATTGAACTTATTGGATTTTTTTCTTGAAGGATGTTGTATGGGGTACTATTATAGATGTGAGGGAATAGTAATCTCACATAAATATATGTCTATACGAAATTTTATTCATTATTTCTATTTTACAGGTATATTTTTGAAGTTAAAATCTCACAAAATTAGTAGTTCAATAAAAAAAAAAATTTATTGCGGCGTTTTTCAAAACACTATAGTTATATTTTTAAAATAACAAAAAAGCTATTACGACGTTTTTGAAGCGTCGCTAAATGCTTATGTGACGTCATGTTACCATTGACTGCCACATTTAGTGGCGTTTATAAAAACGCCGCCTATACTTATTTTACGACGCTTTTAAAGCGTCATAAACTTACAGCGATGGCCGCGTCCTCGGCATTTGATAGTAAGTGTCGCTAAAGGAACTAACGGCGTTTTTCAGACATATAGAGGCGTTTTTAAAACGCCGCTAAAAGTCATTTTTCCAGCAGTGTAAGGAGGAGGAAGTTCCACCATTGATATCAACTGACCAAACTGAGGATCTGTTGGTAAGTAACTTTAAAATTAATTATTTTGTAATCTCCTTAAAACTGGGAACTGTTGTATTTGGGTCGAATTGGATTTTCTAATTGGATCAAATTTGGATTCACAGTAATGGGAGCTTCCTTTTGCTCTATTTGCAATTGGGCTTGTTGTTCTGATTAGTATATTCATGATTCTTGCCCATTTTGAGTGCAGGGTTTAAATGAAATAAATCCTAAAGTTGCCGACCTAGAAGAAAGTGATGCATTGGTGCTTGCCATAGTTCCACCTGGTAAGTTGCATATTAGTTTTTATTATTGGGAAAGTTTTTAATTATATGAAGATTAAAGTAAGACAACTAAATAAAAATGATCTGCTATGCTGAAATTTAAATTGACACTTTCTTTTGGTTTTATGCGTGTGTGTTTGTGTGTGCGTGTGTGTTTTATAGGATAATAAAAAATTGTTCTGATGATTGGAATAATTTCAAGTAATAATCCGGTATTAAGAGGTTAGGATTTGAGTGCAATTGGAAAGACTTCAGGATAGGACCTAGCACTAGTTACCACACAAAGCAACAGTACTAGCCATGTGACAGAAAGAAAATTGGTTTGCTCTACCTCTATGTGCTTTATTAAAAAAATAGTATTACATGTTATATTCTTTAGTTTCTCAACAAAAACAAAGGTCAAAAAATATCAAAGAATTTCTAATATTAAAGGTGGTTGAAATATGACTTGCCCCATTCCTAAAATATCAGTTTAAATTTTTTACATATGGTATTGAGGAATTTTGGTTTATTTCAAAATATATTGCAAATGTCTTGTGGTTGATTTGAAGTGTGCATGTGCCAAATTATAATCACTGGTGTTAATTTAATTTTAGGCAATACTATATTTGATGGATCGCATTTGCATAGTTATGATTCTTAAATTGGGTTAATGCCTAGGTCATGTAGTTGTAGATGTAAATCCTTATTCTATATGCTCTGTTTATTCAGAATGTGTTTGCATGTAGGATTTGAGGAGGGGATTTACTTCTAAAGCAGTGATTTACTTCTATGGCATTTGATACAACCAGTTACCACAACTTCTAGAGCAACCTAATGATCAAAGCATCACATTCTCTTCTAATACAACTTTGTAGTATAGTTTAATAGTTGTTCTTTACTTCACTGCAACAAAGTCTCATGGAGAAGACAAATGGAGAAACCTCCCAAAGAGAGCTAGAACTTTTTTTTTTCTTTTCTTATACTCATTCTTTAATTATTGTTTCACTTAGATCTCTTCTTTTGCTCTTTATTTATTTTATTTATTTATTTATTTTTTGTTTTGATAAATGAAGGTTTGAAGCAATGTGGTAAGAGTTGCAAGCTTAGGTGGTTGAATTAGCTTAGACCAGACATCAAAAGAGGTAACATATCTCTACTACAACAAAAAAACATTTTTAATAACAGTTTTTAATAGCATTTTTCTTAAAATGTTATTAAATATAATGCATTTAGTATCAGATAACCTGAGTGTTTTTTTCCAATGAATTCATATTTTATTGGCAACAAGGTTAGTTGCTCCAGCTATTGCCACGAGTTTAGGTGCCTTAGCACATACATTGGGTACCCTCGTCCCTGTGATAGGAACAAGTGGGTTTGCTACAGCTGCAATTGCTATAGGAATTGTTGCCAGTAGTTTTAGATATGTTTAGAAACTTAGATATGCATAGTTTGGATGGTTTAAACTTTTTGGACAGTTTAGAACTTAAGGATATAGTTTTCGAATGTTTAGAATATATAAACAATTGTTGAATGTTTATAATTTATGGATGTAGTTTCTTTTTGATGTTTCAAACAATATTTTGGTGGTTGATTGATATTTTGTGATGCTTGTTTGTAATGTTCGTTAGATTGTACAGAATTGGTCAAATAGAACCTACTAAATTAAAAAAAAAAAAAAATAAAAAAACTGCATATTCTACGACAGGTATAATAAGTCGTCGTATTACATGTTTTATGACTAGCAAGGAAAGTTATGATTTGTTCCAAGAATTAACGGTGTGAAAAAGTAGTTGTAGAAAAAATCAAATATAACACACCAGATCCGCTATTAAAGCGTTTTTAATGGCGTGCAAAAATAGTTGTAGAAAAATCAAACACAACTCACAAGATCCGCTATTAAAGGGCTTTTGCGGCGTACTACGACATGCCGTTGAAAGTGAATGACTTTCAATGGCTGGTAATAATATGACGTTATCGTATCCACGACGTGCATTTGGTATCGTAAAAATCTTTTTTTGTTGTAGTATACTCCCCTGACATTTGAATATCACTATATAAGCCCCTAGTAGTTGATGGATTGAAGTGCACAGTTAGCATTTCCATATAATCTAGTAGCCTGTGCAGTACATGCGAGCAATGTGCAATTGTGCATAAATTGATGATTTTCCCTCCCAATTAAATGACCAAAATGCCCCTTGAGTTAGAAATAAAAGCTTACCCAAGAAGATTGCTTTTTACTCTCTCTTTCCTCAATATGTTGAGTTGCAGGCAACTCCACCCAGCAAAAATGTCCTCTTCAAACAGTATGGGTGGTGGAGGAGCACAAATGTTGAGGTTCGTCAACAAAAAATGTTGTTGTGGGAAAAAAGTGGCCATTAGTAAGACCTTATCTTCGTTACCATGACCAGTCACCCTTCTTCAGTAAAACCTCGTCTTTTTCCTTACCATGGCCAGCCAACCTTTTTTTCTCCCTCATAGACCATCGTAGTTGCTTCCTCTGCCATCATTGACTGTCATCGTCGTCTCCTCTCCAATCTCCGACTATTGTTGAGCCTCCTCTCCCATCTCCAACTATTGTCGCCGCCCCAGCTTCCATCCCTGTTGTCTCTTCTTTCATCCCCAACCATCATCAATTTTATTTATTTTTATTTTTTTCTGGGCTCCATTGATGCTTCCTTACTATATATATACATAATTCTATGAAGACATAAAATTTGAAGAAAAACACACCACAAATTACAAAACAGAGTTCTCCAAAACAGAGTACTCTAATATATATAGAATTACAACCATATGTGAAAGGAAATAATAATGGTAAATAATCTCATGATTTCGACAATATCATATCAAATCAAGCATGAGTTTTTTGCATAATTAATTGGGATTTGCTGGAAAAAGAGAGACTTTAGGCTATAATTCATACTTTCCTTCCCGACAACATTCTATGATAATTCTAAGAAAAGGGTTGCCAAGAAAGGAAGTGGAATTGAAGACTGAAAATTATCTGGTTTGGTTTATTGAACCAGAGAAATTGTTGCGGGAGAAGTTGTATATATATATATATATATATATAACTAGTAAAGGATTTACTGTTGTTATAGTAATGGTGAAAAAATTAATTATTATCAGTGATTTGCGAACTAATGAGGCAGAGCTGTGCAAATAGAGAAGGAGTAGAATAATAAGAACATGAGAGAGGATGTGCTGATGGTTGAGAAAGAAAGGTGTAGAGAGAGAAACAATAGAAAAATTGAAGAAATGACATCTTTTATAAATTTGGAGACATAGAGAGGGCTACGAATTTGATGTTTCTTGCATTACTGCTTCACCTCTGGGTGTGCTACAATAGGTTTGTTTTCAGTTATTTTTCTTTCTCTCTCTACTCTCTCATTGTGCTCCCATTTGGCTACTCTGTAATTGTAACAACCCCAACCCATGATTAACTGTTAAGCCATGATTAAGTATTCCTAATAAGTAAATAAGATAAAATCCTGGTTAATTACATATGCATTGCATTATTAGTTTTTCTATCTGTCTCCCGTAGAAATATATGTTTGTGTCTCTATTTCGATCTACGAATTAAAGGCCTTCTCAGCATCCAAAAATGAAATTGATTTGGTATTTATGTTATGTGAAATTTTTAGAATTTTATGGTAAGTTTAATTGAAATTCAATTCGGAACGAATTAATTAGAATTAAATAATGCTCATTTGATTAATGGTAAGCCTAATTAATTAAACTCCCTAATCAAGCCTATATAAGGCTATTACATTCCTTTGAGTCATCCTCTCTTCATCATTTTGAGCCTACACATGTGAGAAAAAGAGAGAGAGAAAGGAGGAATTGAATTCAACTAGGAGATTTGCTAGGGAATTAAGGGAATTGGCTTGGAAGTTTAAAGAAATAGCAAGCTAGAGCCTAAATCAAGAGTGACGTAAGGATTTAAGCCTTTACTTGTGTAATTGAGATGTATTACATGAATTCAAGAGAACTTAGAACAAGAATTGAGCTAGGAAAGGAGAATTAGGAAGAATACCATACATGCATGCAAATTCTCTTGCATTTAGAGTTGGAGTTTGAAGAATTTTCACATGCATGTCCATATATTGGTTTTATTCAAGGAATTCAACATGTTTTTGGTCTAACCATCTCATTTGCTCATGATTTGGAGACTTGGAGCTCAAATCATTTCATGCATATCATGTCTATATTATGTTTTCCCATTTCAAGCTTGAGTTGTATAATTGACATGTTTATGGGCCTTGATTTCATAAAATGATCTTTAATTCTCTATGATTTCCAGGTTTAGACTTGTTTTTCTCAAGTTTTTGGCCCAAATGATGTGTTTTGAAAGGTTAAAGATGAGTTTTGAAGCTTTGAGGTGAATCTGAAAATTTCAGAATTCGGCCTCACCGCTCAAGCGACAGATCCTGCGCTCGGGTGACCACTTTGTGTTTTGCACCCCCACTCGAGCGACAAATAGTTAGCTCGAGCATAAAATGCATGCTCCCAAAAGTTTTCTATTTTTGCAGACCGCTCGAGCGACAAGAGTTGCGCTCGAGCAAGGACCTGAGTCTCACGCTCGAGTGAGCGTCAAGCGGAGAAACAAAGCAACTAGTACTTTTGCAGAGTTTACAGACAGCTCGAGTAACCGAAGTTACGCTCAAGCGACCTCTCATATTTTTGCATGTCCGCTCGAGCGAAAGAAGTTGCACTTGAGCGAGACCCCCGTTTTTAGCAAGTTTTGTTAAGTATTTTCAAGAATAATTTGGCATTCTCATTGCATCCTAGACACTCCTAGACCAAGATTAAGACATAATAATGAGAATAAGAAGTAGAAACACACCAAGATAAGAATGAACTAAATTAATGATTCTAGACGTGTAATTCAATACGTATTCGTTCTATCACTATGTAGGTCATGCTCCACAAGATATCTGATTTGCCTATTCTGTCTGTCTGCTTTCGGAACCATCTGTAAGTAATAACTTAGTAAAGTTATGTTCAACTTTATTTATTTTTTATATATGGAATAAGATCTATTTTATGAAATGTTATGCTCTGTACAATGAATGATTGTCCAATTTCTGACAAGTATTCGTGGCAATAATTCCTTGGCTCAAGTAAGTTATATGTTTCCGGTCCGAAGGTTCCTTTATGGAACTAACAAGTTATCCGTATTCGGCTGGAAGTTCCTTTATAGAACTAGCAAGCTATATGTTCCCGGTCCGGAGGTTCCTTTATGGAACTGACAAGTTATCTATACTCGGTCGGAGGTTCCTATATGGAACTGACAAGTATGACTCTTGATGCTCTGTATGCGATTTGTTAGTGCTAATGGATGTACTATGTAAGCTTAAGCATGAACTCTGATTTCTGTTTTGTGACTCGAACAAGAATGTGTATATGAATCTGTTTTTGTTTACTGAATTAGTTATGAGACATCATTCCTTTAACCTTTTACTCTGTTATTTGTACGTAGGTACGCAAGCGTGTGACCAAGCTTAAACTGTTGTTATGCTCTTTCCTCTTCTCAAATACACGACTGTTTGAAGTGAAATGATAAGCAAGGTTATATATATACAAGGGCAAATTAGTCTTTTTATATTTGTTGTTAATGATGTTAACTGTACACTTCAATCCATTAACCACAGGAGGGTTATGTGGTGTTATTCAAATGTCATAGGGGGGTAATCTGCACTTTGTCCAAACCATAGGAAGTAAAGTGAAACTTGTCTTCTTTTTTTTTTTTTTTTTTTTCTGTTTTTCATTTTTTTCATTTTTTCATTTTTTAAGTCAAAAGTAGTTTAAAAGTCTATATCAAACGAGTCTTAAAATTTCCTTGTTTCGATGAAAACAGGTATGTAAACCCTCCCCCCCCCCAACCAAAAAAAAAAAAGTTGACGACCTATAAAGTACATATTATTATCCTGAAAAAATAGCAAATCACACCCACACCGTTTATTTGTGGGTTTTGCTTATGACCACTTAAATGAATAATGAATGTGAAATTTGTAATATTGTCAGCATATGGGATTGAATAATTATAAATCAAATTAAAATTTACCTCAATAAGAGGAGAGTGATCCCGATTAATCGTGAAGCTTGCTTTCTCACTAATCCTTATCACACGCTCCTTGAATTCCTCGTATTCTCCTGTGCAAATCAATCCCCATCGTTTTTATACCAAATTTCTTAAACTTATTATAAATATCATTTTAAAAAAACCATCACAAAATTAATAAACAAAATAATCATGTAGGTGCTCGAAACTATACTAACATTATAATACAAACTCTCAAATTTAAAAATGCTCTGAGCAACTCAAATAAACCGCGCCACCCTACTTCAATTTAATCCACAAATATGAATTGAAGAAAACTTCTTGGGAGCTTTTTTGATAAATTCATTTTCTAAGAGTTTTATTCCATCCAACCCATATTCTTTTTGACTATTCCATTAGGTCTAATTTGAGATAAGAAGACCAAAATACCATTTTCATCTACTTATGTTCCATTTAGTTCACATTATTTTCTTATGTTTCAATAAGTCCTATGAGTGACATAATTATCAAAATACCCTTAATGTGAATGTTCACACCGTCAATATAAATGTTTATATCGTCAATGTGTAGGGGCTCGGCTCATGTCGATCCTCGTGGGTGCCCGGAAAAATTTGAGTCGGGCCGGGCCGGCCCACAAGCCAAAAAAATAGGGCCGACCCGTCCCGTTGATAATATGAATATTCACATTGACAAGTTAACATTCACATTGATAAGAGTGTAAAATTGGCCTGCGGCCCATGGGCGGCCCGAAACCAACCCGTCGTCCGGGGCAGGCCCGGGCTGGCCCGTTCACAATATGAATATTCACATTGACATATTAACATTAACATTAACATTGACAAGAGTGTAAAATTGACCCATGACCCGTGGGCAGTCCGAAGCCCAGACCCGGGCCCGGGTCGGGACGGGCCCAGCACGGCCCGTTGACAATGTGAATATTCACATTGACATGTTAACATTCACATTGATAGGAGTGTAAAATTGACTCGCGTCCCATGGGCGGCCCGGGGCGAGCCCGGTCCGGCCCGTTGACAATGTGAATATTCACGTTGACATATTAACATTCACATTGATAGGAGTGTAAAATTGGCCCGTGGGCGGCCCGAAGCCCGCCCGTTGCCCAGGGCGGGCCTGGCCCGGCTCGTTGACAATGTGAATATTCACATTGACATATTAACATTAACATTGATAAGAGTGTAAAATTAGCCCGTGACCCGTGGGCAGCCCGAAGCCCGGCCCCGGGCTGACGCGGACCCGGCCCGTTGACAACGTGAATATTCATATTGACATGTTAACATTCACATTGATAAGAGTGTAACATTAGCCGTGCCCCGTGGCTGCTTGAAACACGCCCACGGCCCGTGGACGGCCCGAGGCGGGCCCGGCTCGGCCTGTTGACAATGTAAATATTCACATTGACATGTTAACATTCACATTGATAAGAGTGTAAAATTGACTCGCGTCCCATGGGCGGCTCGGGGTGGCCCTAGTTTGGGTCCGGGCCTACCCCAGGCCGCGGGCGAGCTTCGAACAGCGGACAAGTTTTACACTCCTATCAATGTTAATGTTAACATGTCAATGCGAATATTCACATTGTCACGGGTCGGGCCAAGCCCGCCTCGGGCTGCGATCAGGTTTCGGGCCGCCCACGGGCTGTGGGCCAATTTTACACTTCTATCAATGTGAATGTTAACATGTCAATGTGAATATTCACATTGCCAACTGGCCGGGCCCGAGGTCGGGCTTCGGGCTGCCCACGGGTCACGGGCCAATTGTACACTCTTATCAATGTGAATGTTAAAATGTCAATGTGAATATTCACATTGTCAACAGGCCGGGCCCGTCCCGGGCCGCCCACGGGTCGTGGACGGGTTTCGGGCAGCCACGGGGCGCGGGCTAATTTTACACTCCTATCAATGTGCATGTTAACATGTCAATGTAAATATTCACATTGTCACGGGTCGGGCCAAGCCCACCTCGGGTTGCGGTCGGGCTTCGGGCCGCCCACGGGTTGCGGGTCAATTTTACACTCTTATCAATGTGAATGTTAACATGTCAATGTGAATATTCACATTGTCAATGGGCCGGGCCGAGCCCGCCTCGGGCCGCGGCGCGGGGTTTTGGCCGCCCATGGGCCGCGGGCCAATTTTATACTCTTATCAATGTGAATGTTAACATGTCAATGTGAATATGGGCCGCGGCGCGGGCTTTTGGCCGTCCATGGGCCGCGGGCCAATTTTATACTCTTATCAATGTGAATGTTAACATGTCAAAGTGAATATTCACATTGTCAACGGGCCGGACCGGGCCTGCCCCGAGCCGCCCATGGGCCGCGGGCGGGTTTCGCACCGCCACGGGACGGGGGCCAATTTTACACTCCTATTAATGTGAATGTTAACATGTCAATGTGAATATTCACATTGTCAACGGGCCGAACTGGGCCGGGCCAAGTCGGGCCCTCCCTGGGCTACTGTCTAGTTTTATACTCTTATCAATGTGAATGTTAACAAGTCAATGTGAACATTCACATTGTCAACAGGTCGGGCCGGGCCCGCTCACGTGTCTTGGCGGGTTTCAGGCAGCTACGAGGCGCGGGCTAATTTTACACTCCTATTATGGGCAGCAAAAGCCTGCCCGCAGCTCGGGCGGGCCCGGCCCGGCTCGGTTGGCAATATGAATATTCACATTGACATGTAACATTCACATTTGT